TAAATTATGCGTTAGTAAAAAGAATGTTCCACATATGCAGATTGACTTGCTTGCGGAAATCAATCAATCCCCACGTATTCTATCAGAGGTGGATGGAGCTCTTAAATCAAAGCAGATGAAGGCCGATGTGGATGAGTATCTGAAGGTAATTTGTTTTTGCTCTTCACTGTTCTTGCGAGAATGATTGGTTGGTTTCACATTTCTGAATTCAGATAAAACAGCAACACTGTTGTCGATTCTTTTTTCATTTCTGTACAAGATACAAACCTTTTAGTTTTTGTTTGTAGTTGGAGAAAGAACTAGCAATAATTCTCTTCTTCTGTAAGTGATATATTATAATTATTCTTAGTAAAATTGTGATTATCTATTTTGGACATTATTTTGCTCTGCTGTCTATCCTCTATCTCCGGTATACTATGTTTTTTCTCATCTACATCTCCATTACCTTTCTCATAGTTCCTCCCTTTTTTTTTTCCTGCTCTCTGCAGACGAGACAACAGGGATCCTCGTTTCTGGCCGGTCTGAAGCAGAAATTGCTTCTTCCTCCCAGTGAAGCTGCTTCTGCTGGGACCCGTTATAATGTGCCTTTGATCAACTCCCTTGTACTTTACGTTGGGATGCAGGTACTTGGTTCTCTACCTTTCGAACTGTTCTTTAACTTGTGATCATCTCTGGCAATTACTGGTATTCTTTGTACTAGGCTAGCCATTTGAGGGCTTAAATCAATTTATAGGGTATCCCTTCTCTTGTGGCTTTGGTTCATATTCCGTTTTGAACTTTAAAGATTCCAATCTTTTTGTTTATTGGTTGCTAAAGCTTGAATTTGCACGCTTACTTTTACCATTGTTGTTCAGGCCATACAGCAACTTCAGGCAAGAAGTCCTCATGCGCAGTCAACTGCCAATACTGTTACCTTAGCAGTATTCTTGGTGGGAGCTGCTCTCGATATTTTCCAGACTCTGATTGTGGAGTTGGATACTGAAGGGCGCTACCTCTTCCTCAATGCCGTTGCAAACCAACTTCGTTATCCTAATACGCACACTCATTACTTTTCTTTTGTCCTCCTGTACTTGTTTGCGGAATCAACTCAGGTTAGATAATTCTGTTCGCAGTTCATTTTATACATTTTTGCCTGCTAGAACTGTCATTGGTTAGTGTCGAACGAATAGCTTTAATTTGAGTTCTAATTGGTGTAATTAGTTAGTCACCTCTCCTATTTTTTGTTGTTTCCTTTTCTACTTCTTATTCTATAGAGAATAGTTAAAGATTTTGTATTATAAAAGGTTTATGTACTGAATAATAAGACAATTGAGTCGTATTCCTTACACTTACCACATAGTATTAGAGCATTCCTATTCTGAAAATCTGATTATACCTAAATTCTACTCTAATCGGTGAAGCTTCCATTGCTACCAATCATTCACCATGACCAAGACCTGCCTAGTGTGATTGCCTTCTATTTGTTCCTCCATCATGTTAGAAGAATAAAAAAGATTCCATCATCAGTTGAGTAAGTCCCTATAGCCAAGAAAAAAGGTGGATTTCAACACGTATGATTGTCATATTGGCTCAATGGAAAAAACTTCTTCAAATGGTATCAGGTCGTGTGGACGAACCATAAGAGGAAAGGGAAATTTTGTTGGAATATGACTAGCGCAGGTCGTGTGGACGAACCATAAGAGGAAAGGGAAATTTTGTTGGAATATGACTAGCGCAGGTCATGTGGACGAACCATAAGAGGAAAGGGAAATTTTGTTGGAATATGACTAGCGAAGATGGATCCATAATTTACTGCATAGAGAAGAACACTACATAATGTCAATAGTTCTGAAATTTTATGGAGCCATCCATCAACATACATGTATATTTTTACAGAGCACTCAAGCCATATGAGACTTCATCCATCAACGGTACATGTATGTTTTCATAGAGAACTCAAGCCATATGAGACTTATTATTGAAGCAAATCATGTTTGAATTTTGACAAGTCTCAACAACCAAGTCCAAGTACAAATCATCCTTCAAAAGAAACATCATTCCTAGACGAAATAATTTTCCTTTTGAGTAGAAAAGTGTAGATTATGTCTTATGCTTGACTAACAACACGGTGTAGATGCATCGACCTTTGTTGTAGAGAAGAAAAAAACAACATAAAAGACAACCAATGGAAGTGTAACAAATACAATTTACGGTATACTCACTCCAAGTAATCGTGACACACAATGGAGAGTTGTTGGAAGTTGAATGGAAAACCTCCTAGACGTGGATGAGAAAATCGTGGAGGCTCATAGAATTGTGTTTGGGAAAACACGAGAAAAATGTTAAAAACACAAGCTCACATCGCAATGGAGTCCAAATCAGAGCAGAAGCCACAAATCATGGACGCTAGTACATTCAATAATGAAGAGATTGGATTGTGCTCTTTGACTTAATAAGTCGTCAAGGTAATAATACTATTACCTTGACAATCTTAGGTAAGCCTTAATTTACCTTTTGTATACATCCTTCAAAGCTACTGATCGCATGAACCTTTCACTCAGTTTTTCAAAGCATATAGCCATGCCCAAGTAATAGAAAAATTATTGTGGAAAATGGGACTAGTTCCGTTGCAAAAATATATGATGTATACTCATTGGACTTGTTAAGGAATTGAATGACCAACTCTACTAACAATTACCTAAGAGAATAACAAATCTCGCACTTTGTGTCATTTCTTAGTTCATCCAATATATATGTACTTTTGGTTATTTCACCTTTGCATGGTTTATCCCTCATTTAGAATTTTGAATGTTTTTAGATTTGTTCTTTTGGTTATTTCACCTTTGCATGGTTTATCCCTCATTTAGAATTTTGAATGTTTTTAGATTTGTTTCGAGGATTCAAAGTTTTTGATTTTCATTGTGATGCATATGTAGATCTAGCTGATGTATACAAGTCAATTTATGCATGACCCATGACAGTCTCATCTTTAAGAAATTATAGCTAGCTCACAATCGACCAAGTCAATTTATGCATGACCCATGACAGTCTCATCTTTAAGAAATTATAGCTAGCTCACAATCGACCTACATAGCATACTTAGTGAGCGCAATTAGTCAATTTATGCATGACCCCTGAGAGCCTCACTGTCAGACAACATATAAAGTATTACATTACTTGAAAGGAACTTTAGGAATAAGAAAATTTGTTCGAACAGAATAATTTCCTTGTGCCAGACCAATAGTTTATAGATCTTCTACATTGTACTTTTCTTGAAGGTAACTTGGTGACGTGGAGGAGTAAAAAACAAAGTGTGGTAGCTAGATCATCTATCGGATTAGAATTATGAGATATTGCACTAAGACTATGTGAGCTCTCATGGTTGAGGATAATCTTTGATGACTTACCAATTAGGGGAGAATGCTTGATAAAGTTGTATTGCGATAGCAAATCAATCACCACGATTGCTGATAATCCTATCTAACATGATAGGTCGAAGAATATTGAAATTGATTGACATTTTATTAAGGAAAGGGTAGAGAAGGGGATAATATGCTTGAGTTGTGTTTACTTTAGCTTGAAGGGGTGGGGATTGTCAAGCTATTATAATAGATTAGGTCTCGCCAATAATGGCACTCTCCGGATTCAACGGACAGATGAGCCAGCAAAAGGACTTCACAATTTATTGTTTCATGGGTTAGTATCTAAGCTAGAAATGGATGATATCTATCCCTCCGGTTAGGAAGGGGTGTCGTAGGAATATTCTTAATTTGAGGAGTAATTGATGTAATAAGTCAACTTTTCTGTTTCATTTTCTGGACTGTTTCCTATTCTCTAGAGAGTTGTTAGGTGTTTTTATATTAGAAAAGGTCTAATACTTCTAAATATTTTTAAATATATATATATGACAATATACTTCACTGTCGCAAACAGTTGCAACTGTTAGTAATATAGGACATCAGTTATAATTTAAGTTTGCTTTGGAACATGGGCAGGAAATTATCCAGGAGCAGATAACAAGAGTGTTGTTGGAGCGCCTCATTGTTAATCGACCTCATCCATGGGGTCTACTGATAACATTCATTGAACTTATCAAGGTAAAATCCCACCATAGTCTATCCATGTTTGATATTTTTCGTCGTTCATGTTTCAGTTTTTACATGATAAAAATTGTTTCCTGAGCGAGAAGCATGTGATATGTTTGCAGAATCCAAGATATAACTTTTGGAACCGGTCCTTCATAAGATGTGCACCAGATATCGAAAGACTATTCGAGTCTGTGTCTAGATCCTGCGGTGGCCCAAAGTCTGCGGACGAAAACATGATTCAAAATTGGGTACCTGATACCGCTCACTAATTCATCTGTTTGTGTATATGATTTGCCTGTCTTTGTACACTGTATTTATTTACTCCCATCTAACAATTGTAGTTCTCATTGAGCAATTGTAGTTCCCATCTAACGATTGTGGTTATTTAACTTGTAAATAATACTTTTCTCATTAAAAGTTAAATATGATTTGGAATTTCTTTGATGCCTGGCACCAAGGTGCCTACTTTTGCACCGTCATTTTCTTCTTTCTTGAGATGTGTTAATGGATTCCTTAATCTTCGCCCTCACCTTTTTATTTATTTATTGTTTCCTTTTGACCCTATTTTCAAACTCGAGCTATTCTGATGTGAAAGCCATTTTTATGGCCATACTAATGTGAAAGCCATTTTCAGGCCATACTGGTGTGAAAGCCATTTTAAAGCCAATACTAATGTGGAAAAAATGTGGAAGCCATTTTAGACTTTCTTGATAAACAAGAATAAAAAAAATAGGAAAAAAAGGATAATATGTGTAATTGAAAAGCCTGCTGTCTGGAAACCACTTTAAACAAATCTGATTCTAAATTCAAGAATCAACCAGAAAGTGTCTTCCTGGACATCATGTTGCAAACTAGAAATAGGTTGCAGTATGCAACGCTCCCAATTTCTAAAACGTCAAGTTAGCCTATTACCAAACGCTGCAATAAGTAAGATCACAACCAGAACAGAATCTTTCATGCTAAAAAACTAGTAACAAAAATGGAAATTTGTTTTACAGTAATGAAAGGAGAATTCAGATCAAAATTAAACTTTTGTCTCATTGCATTTAAATATTCAATACTTAATCAAGGGCAAAACCCACTAGGCTTCTCTTCGCACGAAGTACAGCTTTCCCATAACATGGAGAATGGCAACAAACGCAATGAAACCAATGCTCATGACGAGTACAACGTTGGGGGATATCTTGAGGCCAGGAGCATCATCCGTGTAAAATTGCAGCATTGTTCCAGCTGCCCCTCCAGATGTACCTGAACTTGTCGTCCTTCTCCTGCGCATGCTGGCAGTAGCTGCCGCACTTCCTCTCTGGGGAGCTCCTCCACCTAGTGCCATTCTGTATTGACAAGGAGTAAACAATGTTGGAACTCCCAAGATGACTATTGATTAAATGACAACGATTAATAAATCTGATCGGATCCTCTATTTAACATTTCTCAATCAAATAAGAACAATGCAGCCTCGAAGGAATATTGACCTGTAAATTCTTTCCTCAAATCACAAGATATGGATGTCCAAATCTAACAAAGCCCTAGCCGAAATCATACCAAATACATAATGGAGGGGAGATCACAGTCCCAGCCTCTTAAAATCCTAGCATGAAAGTGGGTTTAAAACTTACCAAACAATATAATTTGAAACCTCAAATAGAGGCACTATGTAATGAAACAAACTAATAGAGACCATGATTTGAGATTAAATATTGATTAATTTGCGACTAACTCATTTGCTTGCAACAATTGGAAAGAAAAATCAGAGATCGTGACTAACAAATATACCAAATTATGCATGAAATCAGAAGTTTATTTGACCAATATTGGCTTGAGGATCTAAAAATCTACGCAATTCTGGATCAGCAAGGCATAAAAACCTGGAACGTGCAAATTGAAGGAAAAACAAACCCTTCAACAGAAGTTCAGACAATTTCCGTAAATTGCAACCTATAGCAATCCATAAGTTTCAGAAGCCAACAAACAACTTCAAGTCTTAATTTTTCATAACAGACGCCATAAACTCTCACCAAACAGAACCAAAAAGAGGAAGAAACAAATTGAAAGAGGGGGGTGACAGACGCCATAAACTCTCACCAAACAGAACCAAAAAGAGGAAGAAACAAATTGAAAGAGGGGGGTGGGGAGGGAGAAGAGGGAGATCTGTTGTTTTGCAGCAGAAAACCCAGATGGAGGAGCGAAACGAACCTTATAAGATAAGAGCGTTTTCAGTTCAATAAATCTTTGCAGAAAATTCATAGATCGGCTAAATTAATTTCCAATAAACTAGGCTAAATTAATTTGTGTCTTAGATATTAATATTCATAGATCGGCTAAATTAATTTCCAATAAACTAGGCTAAATTAATTTGTGTCTTAGATATTAATATGAAGCAAGATCTGCAAACCATCCAAAATCTGTGAGACACAAAAGGCAGGCAGGAAATTGCAGTTCGTACAGAAAAAGAAGAAAAAGCTAAAAATCTGGCGTGAAACGAAACGAAGTCAAACCCTAATCAAATTAATTTTATGAAAAGGAATCCGAAACAAGATCAAGATCTGGTTGATAAAAGTCGAAGGAGGAGATCTTAACATTACAGAGGAAGAAAGAGATTGAATCAGAGGAGACCTTGCCTGAGTCAAGTTCGAGTTGGGATCGACAGAGCCTCCAAATGATCGGTTTAATGTTTGAGACGACGAAGAGAACAAATGCCAATTCAAACATCTTTCCTCTTATTTTTATTTTATAGATTTTGAGGCGCAGATTGTAATTGACGTATTTTCAACCAATCGTTGTCAACCACGTGTCATTTTCTACCACGGGTTCGGTTCTCGGTTTTTTTTTCCTAAGCCGAAAACCTATGGGTTTATCACTACTCACTTTGATCTGATCTCATGCCTAAACCGAACCAAATCAGTTGGTTTGGACTGGTTTGATTCGGTTCGGTCTTCCACCTACTCAAATTTTTTTTGGGCTACAAATGGAATAAAAAATAAAAAAATCAAAACATCCTTTTGATCTAAACAATTTTAGAGTAAAAACAAGTCGATTGACTTTGACTCTTCATTGTAGGTCGGTCGTGTTTTCTTCTTTTAATGGTCAAACCTTTTTATTTTTCAAAATTGGCAACCAATTTATCATTTTAGAGCTTGGTTCCTGAATTTGAAATTCTTCCGTTTATTCCTGTGTTCCTCCCTTAGTTGGTTATAGAAACTCTAATTGGGAGTGAGTATTATTGGTTCTAGCCACTTTTAGCCCTCGTTTTATCTTCGTTAAACTTGTGGGTATTGATTGAAAAGGTGTAGGAATCAATTTGGTGGATTATATAACTCACGAATTTGGAACAAACCCGTGAGCACTATACGTGCCTTGCCTGCCACACCAAGAGCTTCCAACTCAAGTTTTGTTTTCACGAATTCAAGGGCTCTAGATACTCGAATTATAGGGAGCATCTTTCCAAAATCAACTTGAATCTAGCAAAATTTTGGAGATGCGGGGAATCAAACTACATCCCCAATTGGTTGAACTTGTTGCATATTATATTATATTATATTATATTATATTATATTAAATTATATTTATATTTAACAGGCCACCATCATTCTGGGTCGGACCGCTTTCAATTCAACGGCCCATACTTTCTTTTGAAAATGGGAGTGTTCTTAAGTTTCCCGCCTAGGAGCTCAGCTTTTTTCTCATTTGGAAAGGGGAGGGAAGCTCAGACTATGGTTTGCGAAGTGGCGGATGAGATCATGGCGGGAAGTGCTGATTCTTCCGCTGGAAGATCCAGAGGTCCGAGGCTCTTCATTAAGGAAATGGTTTTGAGAAACTTCAAATCGTACGCCGGTGAGCAGCGCGTTGGACCCTTCCATAAGGTTTGTCAGCACTAGAGATAGGGTTTTTGTTTTGGTGCTTAGAATTGTTGAAATGGATGACTGAATTCATCTTCTCTTCCTCTGATTTTTCTGGTTTCAGAGTTTTTCTGCGGTGGTTGGACCCAATGGCAGTGGAAAAAGTAATGTAATCGATGCTATGTTATTTGTCTTTGGCAAGCGAGCGAAACAGGTAGGTCAGACGATCTGAAGTTTGTTTATGACTAAGGAATATTTTTCCCTTAAAATTTCAGATAAGATTTCACGTAGTTGGAACGGGGAAGCACAATGAATTGAGCCAATTTTCGTTGTTATCTAAATAAATCATGTACTAAGAGGAAATATATCAGGTGTAGCTCAGAAATATATCAGGTGTCGCTCATTAAATTCTTTGTTTGTAGCAATTGACTAACTCAGGTGTAGCTCAGAAATATATCAGGTGTCGCTCATTAAATTCTTTGTTTGTAGCAATTGACTAACTTCCTACAGGCAACAAGTGCGATTAGCATCCAACTGGGGTCTGATTTGTCCTTTCTTTTATTTTATTTATTTATTTTTTAATATCTCAGTAATAGAAGCTTGATACCGTGAGTGTTCGGGATTTGTAAAAGTTGATTCGATTCGTTATTTTTTGTTTGAACAAGAAACGAATGATTCAATTTGTTAATTATGAATGGGAATATAGGTGTTGGTAAAATAGTGAAGTGCACTCAAGCCTTCTGTACACTGTAGTTCTGTCTTGGAGGCCAGGAACTCAACAATGTTTATAGATAGAACCTTCTGAAGAGTGGCTGAAGTACAATATGGCTCAAGGTGTTGAAGCTTCAACATTTGTAGTAGATAATGTCATATTTTCTTTGGGTGTGGTGCATCCTCTTTTTGTATGTTAAAGTTTCAATACCTAATATATAAAGTCACCTAAGTTTTTAAGTGCACTCATATATGGATCAGTCTATTTGCATTTAGTTATTTTGAGGCACAAGCATGCTGTTTGCATAGATTGGAAGGAAAACAGTCATATTTCGATGAAAAATGAATCGTCATCTTTTAATGTCACAAATCCTGAACCAGCTGTTGTACTTATAATAACATGCTCCTTGGGCTTCTTTCAATGCATGCACGTGAGCGAGTCCGTATCCAATTTGTTTGAAAAATGAGTGTTTGATTATGTGAAATCCTTGGGCTCCAATAGATGCATTTTTCTTCTAGATTTCCGTTCAAAGTGACATCGCTTTTGTCTAATTTCCATTGTTCCATTCGTCAAGTACTGTCACAATGAGGATAGCTCATATCTTCAAGGATTCAGCCTTGAGGTCTAATGTTTCCTCAAAATATATTCCTGAATTTTGGGGAAATATTGCGAGTTGTTGCTAATAAACTTGATTCTTATTGCTATAAATAGAGTATATATAGAGGAGGGACGGAATAGTCACATATGACTATCATTCTTACATGTATACAGACTCCACAACATAATAATGGTGCATTCATTGCAATGGAAATTGAGTTATTAAATTCCCCTAGTTTTTTCTAATAGCAAATTGATGTGCAGATGCGACTCAACAAAGTCTCAGAGCTAATTCATAATTCTACCGATCACCAAAATCTAGAGAGTGCAAGTGTTTCAGTTCACTTCGAAGAAATAGTTGATTCGGTAACTATTGATTGACAATTCCTTCTTAACTATTTTAGGGCTTGCATGTTCTTAAAATCTGTTGTTTTTATAGAATTAATAACTCATTCGATTTATGTTGTTGACTAACTTTGCAGGATAATGAGGAATATGAAGTTGTTCCTGGAAGTGACTTTGTTATAACCCGGGCTGCCTTTCGTGATAACTCTTCTAAATACTATATTAATAATCGTGCAAGTAACTTCACTGAAGTTACCAAAAAATTGAAGGGTAAAGGAGTTGATTTGGACAACAATCGCTTTTTAATTCTTCAGGTTAGTCCAATTTCATTGTTTTTATTCTTGTGGTATATTTCTATAAAATGTGATATATCTTTGGTTTTATCAGGGTGAAGTCGAGCAGATTTCACTGATGAAGCCAAAAGCTCAAGGACCTCATGATGAGGGATTCCTTGAATATTTGGAGGATATAATTGGAACCATCAAATATGTTGAAATGATTGATGAGTCAAACAAGCAGTGAGTGTCTTTTTCTTCAAGTTTATTTGGTGGATATAAGTCTATAAAAAATCTTGCACTGTATGCCATTATTCTGTGAGTGTTGCTGTTCCTGCTCTTGGGGCATAAAAAATCTTGCACTTGCACTGTATGCCATTATTCTGTGAGTGTTGCTGTTCCTGCTCTTGGGGCATAAAAAATCTTGCACGAACAAAGAGCGTTTACATGTAAAATTTGATTAGATTATATATATTTTTCATAATTTTCAGCTCATCTCACGTATAGAATACTACTTAGAGCAGCTTTGGGTAAAAAAAAGAATTGGAAGTTGAAGGGATAAAATACCTTACAAGGCTCAAATTTGTTGCTAGAAGTTGTGAATTTGTAAGCTCTAAATGTTAGGAATATAAAAAGTAAGACACGGGAGAACAAAGGTCACTCAATATCTATTCCACCTGATGAATGTTAGGAATATAAAAAGTAAGACACGGGAGAACAAAGGTCACTCAATATCTATTCCACCTGATGAGTATTTAGTTTATTTACTTCATCAAGCTTCTTTCAAAACTACATAGAGAATAAAAAAGTTTACTCACAATTTAATTTCAAAGAAAATTCTTCAATCCTTAGGGATAGAGTTAAAGCGAGGAAATAGTTCGTGTTTATATTAACTATTTCCATAATGTTGAATCCTTAGGGATAGAGTTAAAGCGAGGAAATAGTTCGTGTTTATATTAACTATTTCCATAATGTTGGACAATTTTTTTTAATCAAAGTCTGTTATTTTAAAAACTCAGGATTGAAGGATTGATATTATCCATATATTTATATCTTCCATTATAGAGATCCACATTAATATTTCATTTTTTTAATTTTTTTGGACTTTGACCATTGTATACATTGTTTGTAATTGGTCTTATAGGCTTGAGTTCCTCAATGAAAAACGTACTGGAGTGGTGCAAATGGTTAAGTTAGCTGAGAAGGAAAGAGATGGCTTGGAGGTAGAGTACCCTTACATACTGAAAACAATTTTCGAATATAAAAACAAAACAATTTTTACATGTACACATATCAGGATGTCAAGAATGAAGCAGAAGCCTACATGCTGAAAGAATTATCACATTTAAAGTGGCGAGAGAAAGCCTCTAAACTAGCTCATGAAGATACTATAAAGAGAGTGACTGAACTTCAAGATGAAGTGTTCACCTTAGAAGCAAATCAGAAAACTGAGCGGTTCTTTTTTTATCTCTATCTACTTTAGCTCCTCATTTCTGTTGGACTCTATTATATTTGCGATAAAATCTAGATTATACCCGTCTACTTAGTTGAATAAGAAAAAATTAGTTTTAATTTCATCAAATTGAATCTTGAGCTTGAAAAAATTGTATAATTAATGATATCTATTAGTTGAGCTTTTATGCTTTCTTTCAAAGATTTATGGGTAGTTATTAGTTTCTTTTAGCTAGATGAGATTTCTTTTTATAGGTATGAATTATTTTGGTTGTGTTTTCCTTTGAAACATGAGAAGAACTGCAGTAGCCTTTTGAAGCTTAAATGCGTTTGTTTTGTCTTGGTGAGGCAAATAGTAGAAAAAGGTATATAAATTTGTTTATATAGATAATGAAAAATTAATGAAACAAGAGCATTGTAATAATCTTTTTTCATTTTTAAGAAACAGAGAGTGAATTGAGAATATTTCTTAATTTTTGGTAAGACTTTAAAGAGAAGTAAAAGTGGAATTGCAAAAGGCTTTATTTTGTGAGATACACCTTTGTAAAATATGTAAATAATATTAATCTACGAAATTTGAACTTTCTTATTTGTTTGAAGAATTGAAGTGCCCTTGGGGAATTTTGTGGGAACTCTACGAAATTTGAACTTTCTTATTTGTTTGAAGAATTGAAGTGCCCTTGGGGAATTTTGTGGGAACTGCGCCTAGGAGTGCGCCTAGGTGCACTTTTCAAAATACCTACTGCTTTCGTTTTTTTTTAGTGTGGGTCGGGCATTTTGATGTTGATTTTAGCTACCCGTTTACTTGTTGACTTTGTTTTTTTTTTAGTGTGGGTCGGGCATTTTGATGTTGATTTTAGCTACCCGTTTACTTGTTGACTTTGTAATTAGGTTCAAATGTTTGTATGGTTGGGCTTGGGCATTTCTTAGCTTGATTTAAGGTGAATTTCTTATTTGAATCTACGTGTTTATTGGTTGGGTTCTGAGCAATTTTCTAATTTGATTTTTATGAGGTATTAATTTTACCACTTACTCTAGTTAGAGTTGAGTGGAATGAAATTGAAATTTGATTTTTATGAGGTATTAATTTTACCACTTACTCTAGTTAGAGTTGAGTGGAATGAAATTGAAAATTTTAGCATAAAATTGATTCATTAAGCTCAATATTTTGTAATAACTGATTTTTCTGGCCCAACAAATGAAACCATATTATTTTAGATTGGAAATGTCCATAGTGTATGCTAATTGTCTTGTTGCAGGGAAAAGATTCGTGAAACTAGTTTAGATTGGAAATGTCCATAGTGTATGCTAATTGTCTTGTTGCAGGGAAAAGATTCGTGAAACTAGCAAGGAACTGAAGGAACTTGAAGCTGTGCATGAAAAAAATATGAAGAGAAAAGAGGTTTGTTTTAATTTCTTCCAATTTTTTCAGACTCAAGTTCTTTTTGTTTGACCTGATTTTAAGATGGGATTTTGTTATATGACCAATTTATACCTTGTAATTGTGCATCTAGGAATTGGATGATGACTTGCGAAGAACCAAGGAAATGTTTAAGGACTTTGAACGTCAGGATGTTAAATACCATGAGGATTTGAAGCACATAAAGCAGAAGATTAAGAAACTTAATGATAAGTTTGAAAAGGTGTGGGAAATGTCCAATTTGTATTGTGTATGTTCATATATCTGATCTTGCCATTTATTACAGGATTCTACAAAAATTGACGACTTAAGAAAGGAGTGTGAAGAATCAACAAGCTTGATTCCGAAGCTTGAAGAAAGTATTCCACAATTGCAAAAACTTCTTTCAAAGGAGGAGAATATATTGGAGGAGATTCAAGAAAATTCAAAAGGTAGTTATATTTTTCAGTAAATATTTTAGATCCTATGAAATTTAAATTGATTCCGTAGCGTTACCAAGAGCTAGCGAATATTGTTGAATTGTTTTTGTGTACTAAGATTCTATCCCTATTATAATTCTTTTTGTTAATCGTGAATATTTGACTACAATGGAACCTCCTCCCATTAAAGGAGAAAAGGGTGTTGTGAAGAGCATTGTCATCATTGATTCGTTAACATTGAAGTTTTATCATTTTATTTCTTTTCATAAATGTAACTTAACTAACTTAAATTATTCTACCCATTCTTTGTAAAAATAGAGTTTTGTTCGAGGAAATGAGCAAGGCATTTTGCATGGCATGTTAACTCATGAAACTGATAGATAGTGTTTGAGGGGTATCTTGTGTTTGTTTTGTTAGCCATGCAAACCTTATTTCTTTTCAACAGATTGAAAGTCTATAAATTTTTTTTTTTTTTTTTTAAATTTTATCTTCCAACCTTAACCTTAAAGTCTAATTTTTCTGTGCTAGACAAAATTTGCAGAGGTTGAGTATTTGTCCGTGCTAATGTTGCAATTAACATTTTTTAATTTTGTTCCATTCTTTATTTCATTTGCTTCTAGTTCAAATTGAGATGTACCGCTCAGAGTTGGCAAAAGTTCGTGTTGAATTAGAACCTTGGGAAAAGCAACTGATTGAGCACAAGGGAAAACTTGAAGTCGCACGTACTGAGAGTAGACTATTGACTGAGAAGGTAAAATTATCGCTTATGCATTTCTTGGACTACACAGTAATGATTTAATGTCCATTACTCCTATCCTTAATAGCTTTTTTCTACTTCAAAGTGAGGCCTCACATTTGCAGAAATCTTCTCAAACTAAAGTTGACTATGTCCGTTTTCACTTGTATAATTATTAAGGCTGCAACTTGCAAGTCATTTTTCTTATATCATTGATGATATCTCTTTTACTTGCCGAACAAGAAAAATACAAAAATAGTTATAAATAAAAAAGAGATATTATTTGATAGATTAATTCTTTTTAAAAGAATATGACTGTGGGCATATCTTTTAAGAAATGTGGAGTTAGAATTCTATCTTATTGTCTGAATTGTGGCGATTGTTTCAGCATGAAGGTGATCGTGTAGCTTTTGATGATGCTCGCAAGCAGATGGATAACATACTGAAAAGCAAAGAAGAAAAGTCTTCTAGCATTGAACAAATTAAAAATGAGCTTAAAGAGAGAAAGTTGGAATCCTTGAAAGCTCAAGAAGAAGAACAAGTACTTGTTTCAAGAGCAATTTTCTATTGTTTTCTTTTATACTATGGTAAATGATGAAAGATGCTTCATTATCTTTTCAGGAGTGCATCAAGGAACAAGAAACACTTATTCCTTTAGAACAGGCTGCTAGGCAGAAGGTTGCAGAACTTAAGTTTGTTATGGATTCAGAGAAAAGCCAGGGATCGGTCCTTAAAGCAATTTTGAAGGCGAAGGAATCTAATCAAATTGAGGGTATATATGGGCGAATGGGTGATTTAGGTGCTATTGACGGTGAGTTTTCTATATTTGGGATATTATTCTTTTGATGCAACTTTTTTCATATCTTAAACTTTCCTTGGCTATAAATATCATATTACAATTATTGGCATATAATGGTGTATTGTCAAGCCTCTTGTATGTGCTTTTCTATAAATATCATATTACAATTATTGGCATATAATGGTGTATTGTCAAGCCTCTTGTATGTGCTTTTGAAAATTTGTGTAACATAGATCACTATGCTTTCTAGTAGTATTGGTATATGAAGTCATCGCAATATGGTTACTTTATGATAAAATTAGGTTTTATTTATCAATAACGGTACATTGTTCTAGGGAAGAAAATATGGTTACTTTATGATAAAATTAGGTTTTATTTATCAATAACGGTACATTGTTCTAGGGAAGAACTCTAGAGCTTCCCTTCTCTCCCACTAAAACCTATCACAAAATAGCCTACTAAAAAAGATACCCCTCCATCTCTTTCCCCCATTCCATATGCACAACACAACACCCATTCACCTAAAACAGCCAACAGGCCCGTACTAACTAATTTGTAACAACTTCCTTTTCCCTACTGTCTTTCTCACGCGCCTCCTTCTACAATCATCTAGCACTTTACTTTATATCTTATCTTTTCATTCAAAATATTTGTAGTTTTGGTGTAATTATGTTGTATTTGCAGCAAAGTATGATGTTGCGATATCAACCGCTTGCCATGGACTTGATTATATTGTTGTGGAAACATCTAGTGCTGCACAAGCATGCATTGAGTTGTTGCGAAGGGAAAATCTTGGTGTTGCAACTTTCATGATATTGGTAATACATTGCTTATCACAGTGATATGTAGAACTTTATTCTTCTAAGAAATAATTGGTCTCGTTCTTTTTAGCACCTTGAGGAATGAACTTAGTTAAGAATTATGCGCTTGGTAATTTGATGAATACAAGAAAACTCTACTTTCAGATTTAAGCACAACATAGACACGATATATGGCATACAACATGACGCATCTATGATGACATGTTAATATCTAAAATTTTAGATCATGAACTGACATAAGCATATTTGTTAAACTTAAACGTATATATATTTTAAAGTATATTGTTTGATGATTTTCATGCTAAAAGTTTGTTAAGTCTGTGATACTACTGTACTCATCCTAACAAGTTAAAGCATACAATTTGAAATTGGGAATAATGGCTCTTCTTTTATTTCATTGTGCAGGAAAAACAGGTCGATCATTTGTTAAAGATGAAGGCCAAGGTTAGCACTCCCGAAGGGGTTCCTCGCCTTTTTGAGCCAAGGATCTTGAGCAGGTTTGTTCTCAGTACTTTATTCTACATTATGGAATTTTTAACGTTTTTAAGCTTAAACTGCCAGAGATAATGCACATGTTCAGAAAAAAACTTATTTGAGTTGATAGGTGTACAATTGATACTGTAAATTGAGTTTGAGCAAGTATCTGCCTCTTCTATCTGGTAACTTCGTAACTTGTTTGGACTTTGAATGACCAATTAATCATTCAAAATTTCAACAATGTCTCTGCTTCAACTTTGCATATTATGACACCAGCAAGAAGTATTTTCTAGAACTGAGCGATAAAGGAACAACATTTGTTACATGAAAATAGCAAGTGCTTCATTTTTGTTTATTTAGTTATTCTTGAGACATGGTTCTGCAAACAATGATCTTTGTGACACGTGTGTATCCTTGCCATCATATTCTTATTATTATTTTTATTAAAAAAATGAAGGATATAACCGTTCTAGGGAACAAAGAATTAAAATTGGGATAGAAGTCTTTGCTAACAATAATTGCTCATTGAAGTTTATTTGAGTTCTAACCTTTTAGTGAGGTTTTATGTTGCTTCATTCTACCTAGGCAACACGAATCGCATATGGTGGTAGTAGAGATTTTCGACGTGTTGTTACTCTTGATGGTGCCTTGTTGGAGAAATCTGGAACCATGAGTGGTGGGGGAGGTATGCCTAGGGGTGGTAAGATGGGTACATCAATTCGATCTGCCAGTGTTTCAGGAGAAACATTTGGAAAAGCTGAGAAAGACCTTTCAGAAATGGTTGATGCACTGAGCAAAATTCGCCAAAGAATTGCTGATGCCGTGCAACGTCACCAAGTGTCAGATAAAACAGTGGGACAGTTAGAGATGTCATTAGCAAAAAGCCAACAGGAGGTAGTTTTACTGATAGACTCCTCACTTTGTTGTCTTTTGATAAATATAGAAGTTATTTAACATGTTTTATTTCTGCTTTTTTTTTTTTAATGCAGATTGACAGTTTGACTTCACAACATAGCTATCTTAAAAAACAATTAGGTTCCCTTGAGGCTGCATCGAAACCAAAAGATGATGAGCTCAAGCGATTACGGGAGCTAAGGAATATTATCTTGGAAGAGGAGAAAGAAATTGATAGACTTATGCTAGGCTCCAAAACGCTTAAAGAGAAGGTATTCTAGGAGCATCCCTATATTTTCTTCTACAGATTGTTTTTATCTTACTATGATGCCCATTGGGTCAAGTCTAATGTCAATAGATTTATCTAGCATATCTGTCACTCTCATGGTTGATATGTATATTTTAGTGCTGTGAAGCTTGTAACATGAACTATTTGTTTCAGTTTGTTCAAAATGGCTTCATGGTAATGGTTTTCAGTTTGCTCATGCTTTGTCTCGATTCTTAGGCTTTAGAACTTCAGAGTCAGATAGAAAATGTTGGTGGTGAAAGATTGAAAGCTCAAAAGTCCAAAGTGAATAAGATTCAATCTGTAAGTACATTTATTACTATGGAATATCCAAATAACCAAACTACTTGTCAGAGATTCATGTTTTGTCCCTTTGTAGGATATTGACAAGACCGGAACAGATATCAATCGCTATAAAGTTCAGATAGAAACAGGCCAAAAAACAATTAAGAAATTGACAAAGGCTATTGAAGAATCAAAAAAGGAGAAGGAACGACTTGACGAGGAGAAAATTAATTTGCAGGGTAAATTCAAAGAAATAGAAGTGAAAGCATTTGCAGTTCATGAGAAGTTCAAAGAGATAGAAAAGGTTAGTTGTTTACACATCCCATTCTATGCAATTCTGTACGCTTATTTCCTAAATAATTTTGTACCCTTTATGTGCAGCTTATTCATCTGCACGAAGAAGTCTGCGACACATCCAAATCTAATTATAATAAAGTGAAGAAGACTATGGATGAACTTAGGGCATCAGAGGTTCGCCCTTACAAGCCTCCGACTGTATTCTTTATTTGCATCATCGTAGAATGAGAATCAAAATTGAAAGGTTGTTTGTTACATAGGTTGACGCTGACTACAAACTACAAGATTTGAAGAAGTTATACAAAGAATTAGAGCTGAAAGAGAAGGGTTACAGGACAAAGCTTGATGATTTGCATGCTGCTTTAGCAAAGCATATGGAACAGTAAGTAAATTTTGAAAGATAAAGAACATTTTACAGTACGTTTTTTTTGGGATGAAGCATTAGTATTGCATATCTTGTGGCAGAATTCATAAAGATCTTGTTGACCCCGAGAAACTTCAAGCAACTCTTGAAGAAGACAATGTTGAGTGTTGCGACCTGAAAAGGGCTCTTGAAATGGTAACGCTGCTGGATACACAACTAAAAGAAATGAATCCGAACCTTGATTCAATCACCGAGTAAGACTACTCATTTTGAGTTTTCTTGTTTTTTCTTTTTCTTTTTTCTTTTCTTTCTTTCTGAAATGCCATTCCTCGACAGATATCGAAGAAAAGTGGACGTGTATACTGAAAGAGTCGAGGATCTTAATACAGTCACTCAGCAGCGCGATGACATGAAAAGTGGACGTGTATACTGAAAGAGTCGAGGATCTTAATACAGTCACTCAGCAGCGCGATGACATGAAAAAGAAATATGATGAATTAAGGAAAAAAAGGCAAATAAAATTTTCTTGATTTTTTTTTTTTGCTCTTTTAGAGCGCTGTAATTCTTTGCACTATTCCTTTCTAGGTTCCTGCTTCTTTTTTTTTTTTTGCTCTTTTAGAGCGCTGTAATTCTTTGCACTATTCCTTTCTAGGTTCCTGCTTCTTAGTTATTTTCTCGTAATACTTTTAGGTTGGACGAGTTCATGTCAGGATTTCTAGGTTCCTGCTTCTTAGTTATTTTCTCGTAATACTTTTAGGTTGGACGAGTTCATGTCAGGATTTAATGCTATATCTTTGAAGTTAAAAGAAATGTATCAGGTTTGCATCTCAACTCATTCTGTCTTGTTTCATTCTCTTTTACATTCATTTTTCACTCTTTTATAATGTTGTATGAAACTGAATGATCGTCAATTGTTTCATTCTCTTTTACATTCATTTTTCACTCTTTTATAATGTTGTATGAAACTGAATGATCGATCAATTCTTTGATTTTCTTAAATTGGGCATCACAATCCCACTAGTTAAGGTTGATGGTTTATCAGCTTTCTTGCTTAGACTGTTGCTCAAGTCTACACTTATTTTATGTTCGTCGTTTATATATTCAATCATATGGATTTGCATTTATCTTCTAATGGCCACTCTTATCCATATCCCTCACCCATTGTCCTTTGTTGCTAGTTGTATTTCTGAGTAGTAAGCTTTGATATACTTCCTTGATGCTCTTTGACAGATGATCACACTTGGAGGCGATGCAGAACTCGAGCTGGTGGATTCTTTGGATCCTTTCTCTGAAGGTGTTGTTTTTAGTGTCAGACCACCGAAAAAGAGCTGGAAGAATATTGCTAATTTATCTGGTGGTGAAAAGGTTGGCTGCGCTCTAAATATCTTGAAATCCTATCTTTCTTCTGCAAACGCTTGAAATGCATTTTTGTACCTTTAAACAACCATAGTAGCAGACTGCTTATTTCATCGATCCTTATATTCATCATGTGGCATATGTCGAATTTTAATGGACTCGTTGTTTCTTTCAGACTCTGAGCTCTTTAGCTCTCGTTTTTGCACTTCACCACTACAAGCCAACGCCGCTTTATGTCATGGATGAAATTGATGCTGCTTTAGGTAACTTTACTGTGTACTTAATTCTTTTTTCATCTCCCTGACTGCTTATAATTCTATAAAAATATTAAAAAGATCTTTTGGTTTAAGATCCATTGTGGTCCCATAATTCTCGATAACTTTTCATTTTAAAGAACTTTATAGGCCGCCCGACCGCCTCCTTTTATCTTATGTTTTTATTTTGACATCTTTAAGTGACAAATGTTTGAACTCACAAGCCGTTAATCAAGTGTTAGGATTCAAAATAGTTTGGTATTTTTGTGAAACAGTTAGGTGAAATATTAACTTCAATGACCAAAATGAACTTTTATGTAAAATTTAGGAGCTAAAATAGGATATTTAAAAGTTGAGAGATTAAGATAGTACACACAAAAATTTAGGAACTCAAACAAAATTAGTATCATAGCCAGAAACTAGAATGAGATTTAGACCATATTTTTTCCACTTCATTAACTTATGGTTCTTGTGGCTGTAGATTTCAAGAACGTTTCAATTGTTGGCCATTATGTGAAGGACAGAACCAAGGATGCCCAATTCATCATTATAAGGTTTGATGAACTCACAAACTGGATCCTTACCGACTTAATATTTAATCAGGCAATACTATTTATGATTGATTGTCTTTTATAATGTCTACAGCTTGAGAAACAATATGTTCGAGTTAGCAGATAGATTAGTGGGGATCTATAAAACTAATAATTGCACAAAGAGCATTACCATCGACCCAGGAAGCTTTTCAGTTTGTGACAAAGTTGCTTGACATTTTCCTTTTGGTTTTGATAATATGTATTATATATAGAGAAAAGACAATTCGTCTTTTTATGCAATTTCGTTGTATACCTTCTTTACATCATGTATTTATGATGGAAGTTTAATGTATGTCTTAGATGTTAAACAGTAATGAACATTGATTTTGTTAGTGGTCTTAGTTAGACATGCAAATAGTGAGTAAAAAACGTTGTATCCCAACATTCAGTTGTATGTTCATCGATATGAAATTTGTATTCTATCACCACTTAATTTGTATTCCGTTTTAGGCCCCCTTGGCACATTTGAAATTGAAATGAGTTAGATCAAAATGAATGATTGAAATGATAATGCTATTCATTCATGTTTGCTAAAGGTTATTCAAAATTGGAAATAAAAGCTCATTCATGTTGGTGAAAAATTACAATAGAAACCAAATGAATTAAAATAGAAGCTTATTTTTAGGCTTCAACCTACCACTAGTAACTAAAAACTCATTTAAAGGATTATTTAGCTCTATAATTTAAGTCTATTATTGAGAAATGATGTGTTTATCTTATAAATCATATCAAATAGAAGGAATTTTAAGAATTTGACAAGTTTTTGTGTTACAATTTGTAAATTAGACAATGTGGGAAAATTATTGATTTATATTACGGAGTTCAAGACGTTTAGGAAGACGTATGGTGAACCAATCGACTTTCTAAAATATGTGTTTACCACATCAAATTAATTCACATTTAGCAATATGACTAGTCGTTTTTATACATTTCTCAACTAAAGCAAAATGTTAAAGAATCTTCACTCTTAATGTATTTGAAGTCGAAAGGATCTAAGTTTCAACATTTTACTTGCTACATTGAATCTAACAGGGGTAAAACTTGAAGTCGTTTGTGCTAATTAATAAGAAAAGTAGGTTATGAATGATCAATAGCATTTCTATTTCCAAAGCTAACGAAATATTTCAGCATTTAAAAAATGATGGTCCAACTAATAAGCAGTTACCAATAAGTTTCCTGGAGATTAAGCATTCAAGACTACTTACAGGAAGTCTAATTTTCAATTATGTTCATCATTTTGCTACACATTTGCTAGGAGAACAATATGGGTTAAGAGATCATTCAAGGAGCCATGATAAACAAAATCATTACCAAAAAATCTTATTACTATCTATGTGCAAAATTAATTGCTAGAACCACTAGATTATAAACTTAAAAAATTTCAGTCTTGATGCAAATTTCAATCCCAAACTCATCGAATACATTTACAATCTTCATCAAGTGCTTTGTCCAGTAAGGAACTTTTATTGCACATAAATAGGGTAAAAGGGAAAGAGTGTTGTAGTACTCCAAGCTGAGATTCAGTAGCAGGAAGCATCTGCAAAATTAGCAAGAAGTCACATAAGTTGCACAGATTACAACATTTACGAACACATTAAGAGTGAGGAGATAGTTCAGTGAGGATGTTTTGGTTATAACACATCGGGAAGAAAAAGTTTTACATTGTCATAGAAATCTATTCAATTAACAACACTTCATAAAAAACAAAGAGAAAAATATTATACGTTAGAAATACCAGTTTTATTTAGTTATTTGGTAAGAAACCAAGCTTCCATGGAGAGAAATGAAATAATATACAAGGACATAGTACTGAAAACAAAAACAATAACAAAAAAGAGTTCAAAACCTAATTCAATCCAACATAATACAACATAGCTCCTATTTACAAAGGCCATATATCCACGGGTCTCCCAAATCTCCACACACGAACTCCCGAACTCTATAAAGTTCATCCTATTCCTCTCAAGCTAAATGTCCCACAAAACAACAAAGAAGCTAGCATGCCATAAAACATTTCCTGCTCTCAACCATAAGTAACCATCCTTACTACATGACAAACATCTAAATCAGCCCATCCCTCTGAATCCAAAGCAATTGTGCAAACTGGCTACCTCATGACATATGATCAAGGTCCCCCTCTTGCTACCTATAAAGAATGCACCAAAGCAAGTACAACACAAAGAGTGTTTTTGAACACGATCCATGGTATAGACTTCCTATGTAAAACTTGTCACAAGAAATTTTTGACCTTTGAAAAGTTATTTCAGAGAGCAGAGAAAGACAAGACATCTTTAGGGTAAAAAAGTTGTGATGTCCCACATTGGTTGGGGAGGAGGAACAAGACACCCTTCATAAGGGTGTGGAAACCTTCCCCTAGCATACGCGTTTTAAAGCCTTGAAGGGAAGCCTGAAAGTGGCAAGCAAGATGTGAGAAAGATAATTGTGAGAGAAACCCATTGAAGATCGAGGGTTCAAATCTTGAATTCCCTTTTCCTTGGGTTCAACCTCATCAACAGGGCCATGCCCAAAGGTTGGCCCAAGTTCAGCCCATTGATCCATGATTGGTCCAAAAGAAAAGTTTGACCAGCCTGATCGAACTGACCCATGGGCCGACCTATTTATGCCACATTTGGATCGGCTCGTAGGGCCTCCCCAATGGAATATCATTGGGCCAACCCAAATATGTACATGCACCCAAAAGAAATTCTAGATAAGAGGAAGAGAACTGAATCACCTCACACCCAACCAAAGAAGCCTAAGAACTCAACTCAGAGGGGCAGAAGTTTAAACCTACAATGGAGCTTTTGCCCTATTAATCTCAAGGAAAAAACAAATTTCTAAGAATATTAACAAATGATCCTCCCAATCCCAAATTGAAAAAGGTGTCATCAACAAGCTGAAAATGCACTAGATGAATCAACTCTTTAACTCCTTTCCCACCTTAAACTCCTCTCCCACCCCTTTTATCCACTCAACACCAAGGGAACAAGAGTACGTCTCCCAAGAAGAAGATGCTTACCCATGTAGACAACCGGTTATGAATTTTTTCTATAACAAGATTCTATAAACTCTCACTCTTCAGAATACCACCCAAAAGAAATTCTAGATAAGATGAAGGGAACTGAATCACCTCACACCCAACCAAAGAAGCCAAAGAACTCAACTTAGAGGGGTAGAAGTTTAAACCTACAGTGGAGTTTTTGCCCCTATTAATGTTAAGGGAAAAAACAAACTTCAAAGAAAGATAAAAAAACCATTAAGATTAACAAATGATCCTCCTAATCCCGAATAGAAAAAGAGGGTGTCATCAACAAGCTGAAAATGCAATAGATGAATCAACTCCTTAACTACTTTCCCACCTTAAACCCCTCTCCCACCCCTTTTATGCACTCCAAACGAAATTAACATACTTAGAACATTCACCCCTAAGATAAAGAGAAAGGGTGATAAAGGATCCCTCGTCTAAGACCTATAGAAGCAAATATCTTGCCCCTAGGTTTCCCATTGACAAATATGGGAAAAAATTACTGAACTTATACAACTCCACACTCAGGTCTCCACTTAAACTCAAATCCCTTCCTCCTCATGACTTCATGTATGAAATCCACATGGTCATCAGTTTTCCTAGTCTTCAATGACTTGGTTAGCAATCAACACTTGGTATTAGATTTGTATCTTGGCAGTTGGAAATAGTGCTAAGATGGACTTTCCTCAATCTATCAACCAAGACATAACTATAATCTTATGTAATCTAGTAACAAGATTGAGTCTAAAGTATTTCACCTTGTATATCTTATCTCTTTTAAAGAGATAAGACAGACATTGGGCTCATTCATACTTGCATCTCTAATTAACAGAGAACAGGCCCCTTGGGAGTAGGAAATAGTGCAAGGAAGGACTTTCGTCAATCTATCAACCAAGTTTATAACTATAATCTTATATAATCTTGTAACAAGATTGAGCCTAAAGTATTTCACCTTGTATACCGTATCTTTTTTAAGAGATAGGACACTAGATCGGTAATTCCCCTTGCATTAAATTCAGAAAAAGACTTGGGGATAAGACACACATATGCCAGTGATGCCCTTGCGCATCCAGATGCATTGTCAAGCCATGAAACTTCGTTATTTAATGGAGAGCGGTTTATTTCTAATGAAAAATGCTGCAGAGAAAATATAAATGCCTACAGCTTGAGATATTATCTACATTCTATTAGAAGCATTCTTCAGAAGAAATAAAGTATTAAAAGACCTTTCTCCTCATCATTAGGGGGAATTGACATAGCGAGGCTTTGTCACATAGCTAAGCAACAGGAAATTCAAATTGGTACTCTAGATAGCTATTCCTAAGTTCCATAATTTTAAAGTGGTTTGACAAATGAACAGAACAGAGACTATACCCGTGTAGGTGCAGAAACAACACCAAGACACAATTCCTTCATACAAAGCTCCAAAACAGTTAAACACAAGAACCAAGCTCTATTCTTGGGTAAGAATGAAGATGCAAGCAATACATGAATAATGAAATCGAAAACTCGAAGTAAATATCCCATGACTTAATTAATATATCAAATACAGACTACTAAAAATAAAAACGATTACCACTCCAGCAATCACTAACATAATTACCAAAGTTAATCAGGCTAAACTTCCAAGAAATTCAAAATTATCATAACCAGCAGCAGGAAAAATTTTGCGTTCTTCCCTTAATTTATTTCGAAGTATACATAAAAGACAGATCTATAGCATCGAACGATTATAGACAATAACACGCCACAGATTGCCGCAGAATACATTTAAAAAGAAATAGCACATCGAAAAATAGGAAGCACTGCGAAATTCTAGAACATAAAAAAGAAACCCCATTGAAATTACGGGCAACCTTGACCTAGAATGATTTAAAAAAAAAAGAAACACATTCGTTCTCTTCAGATGAAAGCGGGATAAAAATTCATTTAAAACAGAAAACTAGGGGAAAATGAATACATAAGATTCAAACACGACAGAATTCACCCCGACGGCGGAGGGAAGAAAGTATTAGAATGAAAACCGGAGTGAAGAGTTAGGGAAATCACCGGTAACAGTTAATGGGTGGCGGAGGAAGCATCAGCATGGTGATGGTGAGAGGAAGAAGGAGAATGGATCCTGTTATATACTTGCTCGCCGACAAGGTAGATGCCGAAAGCAACGAGGGCGATGCCGAGGCCAGGAGTGGCATGTCGGAACTGATTGGTGAGCATCGGATGCTTCCTCCACTCGTCTGTCCTCCTGAAGAACTCTCCAGTCGATCCCAAAGGCTTATTCGCCATTGCAAAACAGCTCTGATTTCCGCTTCCTTGCGCTCCTTCACCTCGTCCTGGATGGGTGCAGATCGCCACTTCCTCCTGTCCTCGCTTTTCAGCCTTCCCAGCCACTAATCCAAATTACTATATTACCCTTCAATTTTGTTTCTGGATTTATAATTAATCTGTTATTTTATAATTTCTAATATTATGCTCTAGCAAACATTTAAAATATCCTTTAAATAACGCTTAATTAAATAATTTTAATAAAATTATATAAACCTTTAATGGTAAATATTTAGTCGAACTTATATCTAAAAAAATCAAAATGTTACATTAATCAGATATATTTATAAATCTTATACGGTTGTAATAATTTATTAATAAAACAATAATATACTTTTATTGTTTATTTTGTACTCGATAAATTTTAAATTTTTGAGTTGGGTTGAATCATGAATATTAATAATTATTAAAAAAAATAATTTTAATAAAATGATTCAAAAAGTTTTATAACACAAAAATTAAATATAATGCACAGGGAGTAAATAATAACTGATAAAAAATTAAAAAAAAAAAAAAAAGCCTAAAAACAAATTAGAATATTACAATTAATGCCATTCCCACCCCCTTCTTCCACAATTCAAACGGCTCCTAAACCCTACTTTGTTTCTCTCTCTCTTTTTCAAATCCGACGGCGATTGTTGACGGCAGAAATGAAATCGGCGGCGTTACCTTCTTCAGTGGAAGCTTTGAGAAGTGGAGAAGGAATCGCCTCCGCCCTATCTTCTTCTGATCAGTCTCGTCTATTGCTTGCCACTAGACCTCCCAGGTACTTCTCCATCCCTCTCTCTTTCGATCTGTCTTCGTTGTCTTTCAATTCGCCTTGATTTCCGTCCACTTTCTTGGGGCTCTAATCGGTCCTTACTCGTGCGGTTGATTACGGGGTTTTCCTCCGCCAGTGGGTTTATTATTAATATTTTTTTGTTGCCATTGGTGGAATCACCCGTTTCTCAATTTGTTGCTTGTTTTTGTTTGATTTTTGTTCTTTTCCACAATTGGAATATTGAAGGCACTCTTCAAATTTCTAACAACATTGTGTCTTCTCTGCCAATTCCGTTGGATTACTTTCCCTTTTCCTTAATCATTGGGAATCTTTTTCCCTTTTCCTTTTTAATGGTTCGATTCCATCTTCATTTTGATGGTTCACTTTTTCTTAACTCTTTTGGATTGGAGTAATTTATATGGTAGATCGAATTTCATTTATTTTTTAAGTTTTGGGGACTTATATGATTGTTTCTTTTGATCTATACTGAACAGAAACTACAAAAGTTCAGTCTTCCTCATTTGTTGTAATATGATAAATTTGACTGGTGTGTGTGTGTGTGTATGGGGGCAGGCAAGTAGTATCGATATTGACTTGTTCAAAGCTATGTGGTATTTGCTTTGTCGCCGGGGTGTTGGTTGGTTACTCGTTAAAGCGATGCGTGAATCGATGGGTTTCCAAGCTATTGAGGAGATTAAAAGATGATTGATAAGCCCATCCCTTTGTTCTGGTATGCCACTTTCATTGATTATAATTTATAGAATTGAATTACTGATTTGTTGACCAATTTAGAGCAGACAGATGAACAGCTCGTTACCTGCTCATTATCGGGCAATCACTTGTTCACAAGCATGGAGTTAATAATTTGAATTTTCCATCTAATGAAAAATCATTTTTGCTTCCCTTCGCCCGATCCCTTGTAGAGGTATTTTAGTGATAGATTCTATAGGGGATAGATTCTATAGGAGCAGGACGATGAGTAGGGATAAACTCTCATCTTCTTTCCATTCCAGTATTTCTGATTTGTGGCGAGAATTTCTTTGATAAAAACATTTCTGGACTTGATTTGCAGCTCAATTATTTCATCAAATTGCTATTCGATCATGGGACTTACTCGATTTTAAGTTTTTGATTTGGACTTGAAATTTTAAATTGTTTCATACGTTTTAGGGCAGAGTAGAGAGAAGGTTGAACAAACCTGTCCGTTTCCAAGGGCTGTTCATGTGAGGATTGGCTTTATCAGTTTCAAGATTTGATGCTTTTTTGAAACCTTTTCCCTTTTAAGATTTTTTCTCAGCTATGGTGGTGTGGATAAACCACTTTTATAATGGTCAATGTTGTTTGTTGATAAATGATCTATATTACTGTCGGTGGGTTGAATATTTAAAGAAATACTAAGTGACTCTACTGGGGTTAAAAGCGAACATGAGAATGCAATGGCTGGACCTCTTATTTCAATCTATTTTCCTATGACACTGTCGAAACGGGTAATTTGGATGTGTACCATATACTCTACACACAACCTATATGTGCGAGTATGGACTCATCAGTTAGTTCGCACACTGCTGGGCCACTTTCTTTGTCGGGCAAGCATACTATGGGAGCTTCTTAGACCAGACACCTGTTAGAACTAGTAATCGTCACGACAATATTAGGTTAACATAATGATCGTTTTTGTGCTTGACTGTCGCAGAATTATGATAAACATAATGATTGTTCTCTTGCTTGGTCATCGCAGCATTATGATAACCATAATGATCGTTTTCTTACCTTGTAACGTACGTGTCCGTACTATTGTGAAGGGTAAGGGGTATCCCTCAATGCATGAGTACACAATAATGCATGAGGTTTCAACATGTCATTTCACATTTTGTTTATCATATCTTTCATGCATATCGGAGTTGTATTTCATGCTAGTTTGTTGTTTTGCATGTCAAACATATCATATCATTCAAATTCCATAAATATATCATATCATAACATTCCATGCTTCCAGTCATAACAATTTTCATCATATACAAACCATATCATAACATATCGCATTCCAATATATCATATCATAAACATGTCAATTTATCACATATCTTGTACCATAACATATCTCATACCATTTTAATATCATATCACATTCACATGTTGTATCATAATCATATCATAAACATTTTGCGGTCATATTGTTCCCCAACTTATCATAGCCTTAACATTCTTTTACCTATCATAGTTATATTGTTACATGAATGTACTTTAGTCATATCGTTATAGAAATGAATCATAATGCTATCGTCTTATCAATCTATCATAATCTTATCCCTTTTTACTCGTAACTTAAACATATTCTTTTGTCAATTGATCGTTACCATATCATTTCTATCAATCTCTTATATCCATAGCACTTTGATATGTTACCTAACTTCAATGTTTCATAAACATATCTTACTCATGTAATTACATTACGTCTAGTGCATCATTTTCGTATCTTATCTCAAACATATCATTGAACACATTGTACCGTAAGTATTATAATACAATTCATATATTATAACATATATATATATATATATATATATATATATATATCATGTCATAAGGATATCGATTCATAAACAATTCACACATATTAATATATATGACACGTGTAGAATCATGTCGATAGTAAGACCACTTACTTGATTAACTTAGGTTGGTGATACGAAGTTATCCTTAACAAAAGTTCGATTTTGTCCATTCAACCTATGTGAGGTCATGACATAAATTTTACGTTTGAGCCCATGTGAACCAAGTGTTATACTTCATGCCAACTTTATAGTTTTTGCCTGAGTTAAGTCTTATAAATATTTATTTATGTTTGATATTGTATTATTTTCATACAAATCATTTAATACCTCAACATTTTCTGACATTCTAGAATTTTCTTTTACTGTTTTGTTCAGATATTTTCTTTTTTCTTACTGTTTCTTTCATTTTTTTTCTCTATTATATTAGTCATATTCTTGGTTTCTATCTGTATTTCATCTTTCTTTCTTTGGATTATGTTTTCTTTCATTCGATTCTGTTAGCCTTGTATCTATATTTCCTTTTATCTTTCTTTTAATTCTGTTAATTATATTCTTGGTTTTTAATTTAATTGATTTAATATATACTACTTTAACAAATTGACGAGATCTCTCTTCACTTAAATTTGCAAGTGAAGGTTATTTTCCTTTTTGATATTTTTTTATTTGGGCTGAATTATGTAGTTTTTTTTATTTTTTATTATTGGGTTGTTTTTTTTTATAACTTTTTTTTATCTACGGTCCGTAATTATTCAATATAATCTTAGATGAAAATGTATTAAAAAGTTCATAAACAAACACAAATCAATTTATAACTATTCAAATAAATAAATTTTTCATCAAAATATTTTAATATAGTTCAACATTATATAATTAAAAGCAATGTTTATTACTTCATAAAGTAAGGAAATACAAAAATAAATAGTAAAATTAAAAGACGGTAAATATAATTTGTAAAAGAAATTATGAGTAAAAAAATAAAAACTATTATACATCACCTCTGAAGCTAGGGGGTTCTAAATTATCTAAATAAATAAAGATAGGAGTTAGACCAAAGATAATAAATAAATTAGAACTTGGAATTAATTAGAACAAAAAATGTTCTATGAAACCCAATTCTAAAATAATTAAGAATCGTCCACCTTAAGAAGATATGGTAGATAATCATCCTTCTCGTACTAAATGTTAATTCAAAAACCATGTAGATACTAGAATGGTCAAAATATTTTGGGTAACTTTTAATACAACTTAGTATTTAAAATTGTTTACTTTTCACCAACTCGTATACACCTATAATAAAATTGCTTTTATACATATAAGTTAAAGATTAAGACGATCAAAAACCTAAAATATAATTATCGAAAGAATATGAATTACATTTTACCTAATCTCAAAAGGTCCAAAAATTTGGGCATTATCTTTCTTGGCATATATTTAAAAGTACGACTTTTTAATAAACGCCCCCACGTTGGTACACAACTTAATCACTAATGGAGCTATCACCCAAATACATTTTTTGTCTCCCTTATGAAAAAAAAAACAAAAATTATTTAGTTGGTAACCTTTTTGAAAAAAATAATATAGTTTATGGTTGAGATTTCACTTTCCTTATTCACTTAAATTTAACATAATTAATTTTTCAACAAAATAAAAATATTATAAACTATGCTTTCAAATTTAAATGAAAAAAAAATATATGTGATGAGATCAGGCAAAAAATATGATTTGAGATCAGGCGAATCCATCTAGTTAATTAAAACACTTGATTAGAGAGAGAGCGTTTGTGAAACAAATCATAATTTCTATCCTTTCTTAGTTCAATTACGAAAGTGGAGATTGAGTTATTCATATTTAAAATATATTTTATTTAATTATGCTTGAATCGACAAAAATATCGTATGAAAATAAAATATGATAGTTTTTCGATTTGATGAATGAAAGTGAAAGTGATTGGCACGTGAATTTGGTTGTTTGTATAATTTTTATTTAACCTTATCAACAAATTTGATTACTATGTGTCCCTTAACATGACGCTAATAACCATGTGGGTTGTAGAAATTTCAATTTCTATATATTTATATTAAGAAGGCCATGGGGATGGGTATGCCGCCAACAAAGATACAAAACTCCATTATCAATCCCTTATTTCATTCATTCATATATATATATATATTTATATATATTTAACCGACCCTATTTAGAAGTCAGAGATTTGAACCTCCATTTATATTATTTTTTTTTGGTAAATTATAAAAAATATTTATTACCTCTTATTTAAAATTAAAAGGTAATTATATTGATTTGAAACTTACCTGGTTAAAGTAAAAAAATCATTAGAATATTGAACGAAAAGTCAATGTGTCTCGTACCCATCAAGTCATTACCACGTAGAATTTTAGTAGGTACGTATGGTAAAATGTTGAACAAAAAAACGTGACAATGACGTGGAAGAATTTGATAATTTTTTGTATAATTTTAAAATAATTAAGCAATCTTTTAAGATAAATACATTATATTTGATAATATTATGTAATTAAGTCAATTTTAAGATATGGTTGATTGATTGAAAGGGATACATTATATTTGATAATATTATGTAATTAAGTCAATTTTAAGATATGGTTGATTGATTGAAAGGGTAAATATTTTAATTGAAATTAAAATGGAAAATATATGTTGTTTGAAGAGTAAGAAAAGGATGGGGGAGAGAGAGAAACAGCGTAAAGGAATTTAATATAAATGTCGGGAAGAGAAAACCAAAATTACGGCAAATATTACGTGAAGAAAATTAAAAAAAAATATAATAAAGGAGTGGCACGTGCGAAAATGGTGGACTGTTTTGGGGCGTACGATGGGACATCGGGAATCAGTTATTCAACGCCTAAATAACCTCCATTAACGGCTTCATTAACGAACGCCTCATTTTCTTATTTTATTTTTTTAATTTATTAAAACTTATTTGGATTTTTGCTATTAATATTAATTTTTAGTTTGGCTCTTCTCTCAAATACATCAGGTAGATATTGTAACGACTCAAAATTTTCTACCCTTTATGCAGAAATACTTTATTTAAATTTTCATAAAACATAATCTTCAACTTAGAACACTGACAAAACAAAAGACAATAAAATAAATAAACGTTTAAATAAAAAACATCATATTGTAGCCTAAGTCTAAAAAAATAATATACCTAACCTATGCATGTGACATGGTTTCGAGTTGCGATGTCGTCGTCAGCCGTACAGAAATGTCTTGCTTTAACCTGAAATAAACGTAACATGTGACTTGAGTATTTTAAGAAATACTCCATAAGTGTCCTCACTATTGGGTATAATGCAATAACATGCGAATGCAATAACGAGATTCTATTTTTTTTTCCTACTACACTATTCTAAGTGGATATTTGGATGTGTACCATATAATCTACACACAGCCCATGCATGCAAGTATGGGCTCACCCAGTTCGCACACCGCTGACTCCTTTTCTTGTCGGGCGAGCCTTCTCTGGTAGTTCAACTTTTGCCAAACACTCATTAGAATTAGTAACCATCACGGCAACATTATATAAAGCATAATGATATTTCGTTTGCCTAACGGATGTACGAATCTGTACCCTCGTGATGGAATAGGGGTACCCCTAATGCATGAGCACACATAATGCATGAGGTCCCAATATTTTTTCATTTTCATTATCATTTAATACAACCTCGCTAGCATTTTGTACATATCATATTGTTTTAGATATCAATCATCATTCATATTATATTGTTTCTCATTCTTCAGTTCTCATATCATACATAATTCGAACGGAGTTATATTTCATCCCATTTATCATGATTTTATGTCATTAATATCATGTTGTATACACACAATTTAAGAGACATATCATAACGCTTCATGCTTTTAACATAACATTTCATGATATACATATCAAACCATAACATATTACATCACAATGTATCACATATCATAAACATGTTAATTTATCACATATCTCGTACCATAACATATTTCATATCACATGACAATATATATATATATTTTTGTCATTCACATGTCGTATCATAATCATATCATGTCATAAACACTTCATAGTCATATCGTTCTCTAACTTATCATAGCCTTATCGTTCTTATACCTATCACAGTCATATCGTTACATGAATGTACCTTAGTCATATCATCACAGGAACGTATTCTAACGCTATCGTTCTATCAATTTATTCCAAACCTATCCATTTCTACCCATAACCTAACTGTATTTTTTTTTTTATCAATCTCTCATATCCATAACACTTTAGTATGTAACATAACTTTAACGATTCATGAACGTATCTTACTCATATCGTTACATTTCGTTTTGTGCATCCTTCTCGTATCCTATCTCAAACATATCATTCAACACAGCGTACCGTAATTATTATCATACAATTCACATATCATAACATATACATAACATATCATAAACATATCGATTCACAAACAATTCACACATATCAATATATATTGAACGCATCGTACCGTAATTATTGTGTTTCTTGTCCTCCGATATTTTCAGGTTTATTTTTAAATTATGTTCACCAAATCTTTCCTCAATCTTCCCTCCTCATCTCTGTAATTACTTTTATTCTTCGAACAAATTAGATTTTCATTTTCTAAACAGATATTACTCTTCCTCCTCATTTATTTTTGTAAACCTATATTATTGGCCAATTTTGTTAATCAATTCTTACCTCCAAAATTTCAGTTTTCTTATTCAATCTGCATTTCCTTACTTCCCAACAGTATTTCTTCTTTTATTTTATATTATTTTTAATCCATTGTTTTTTGGTTACTATCTTACATTTATAGAATTTCCTACGATCTTGTAAAATATTTGATAAAGGAACATGATTTAACTAACTTAATTTCGAAAATCTAAATAAAATTTACTGTAATAACATACCAAATTAAATCTGCGTTGAAAGGGATTTTACTTTTTCTCAAATTACATTTCTTCTGTTTATTTTTGGACGAACTGTTATATTCTGCAGTGAATTGAGGAGAGAGGATATGGTTGGGATGAGAGGTTACTTGAGAGAGATGGGTAAGTTTTATTTTTTATTTTTTAAATGATCTTTTAATTATTTATTTATTGATTATTATTATTATTATTTTTATCGTGTATTTTTTTTATAATTATTTTTAAAAAAAATTGGATTTTAAAAATATTTTATTTCTAATGTTTTTTTAAAAAAAAATTATAAGAATGTAAAATTTTAGCCTTGTGTTAAAAGTTTGGGATGGTTTAGATATAGTTTTGATTGGGTTGAATTTTTGAAAAAGCAAAGATTCTGAACCAACCTGAAAATAGAGTTACAACTAAAACCTACCCTACCTTACTTTTAAGATATTATAAAAAGTAATAATATTTGACATTTGTAATCGATGAAAACCTACCCTACCTTACTTTTAAGATATTATAAAAAGTAATAATATTTGACATTTGTAATCGATGTTAATGATATAGAGTGGCTTGTAAATGTTTGAGATTTTAATTATTAATATAATATATATTGTGGATAAGAATTATTTTTTTTTTAAAATAACGTGACAACTCAATTTAACGTAACACGTAAACAGAGGTGGATAAGAATTATTTTTTTTTTAAAATAACGTGACAACTCAATTTAACGTAACACGTAAACAGAGGATTGAGTTGAGAACTCTATTCTAATTGCTTGAGTAACCAACTCAACTAACTTGAAATTTCGAGTTGGTCCAAAAGATTTCTCTAACCCAACTCGATATATGCTTTGAATTTTGGAATAACCTCATGCAACCCAATCAATAAAACCAAAAATGCTTTCGGTTGCATGAAACCCTAAATACACAAAACAAAAAACAAACCCTTTTGAGAATTCCAAAAATGCTTTCGGTTGCATGAAACCCTAAATACACAAAACAAAAAACAAACCCTTTTGAGAATTCATGGCCGGCATGGCTAACCTTCAAAGTTTTTATGGTGCCCTTTTGTGACAAAATTTGTGATTACAAGGCGGTTCCAATATGAAGACCGACATTTTTTTTTGTTATATCGAGCTATTGACATTTTTCTGTAACCCTACTTTGTCACTGTACCAGTCTTGTTTTTTTTTGTTATATCGAGCTATTGACATTTTTCTGTAACCCTACTTTGTCACTGTACCAGTCTTGAACTCCTTACGAGTGTGAAAATTATCCTCCCAAACTATCACAAACCGACATTTTTCCTGTAGTTCTTGCAATTTAACCACAAATAGAAACATGCAACTTGTAGATATAGATTGTAATAATTGTCCACACGACGCATCCGAGACAATCGATATAAATCATTTCATACCCATTAACTCATGTTATCTTGAAGTGAATATCAAAAAGAATATACTAAGAAAATCCCAAAAAGAGTATACTAAGAAAATGTGAACTAATTGTTTGAGCCACGCCTCCTTTTCTTCACTCCCCATCTATAAATAGGCCAAACTCCACCATTTTCACAGCACAAAGCAGCGATTCAATCCCATTTTTGTGCTTAATTCTTCATTCAATATGATGAATTTCAAGCATTCCCTTTTCTTTGCTGCCCTTCTTTCTCTTTCACTTACCCCTTGTTTTTGCTTCAATCCCAAATCCCTTAATCTCTCCAACTATGACTCCTACGATTCTAATTCCGGCTGGTCCCCGGGCGTCGCCACCTGGTACGGCAGCCCTGTCGGCGCCGGGAGCGACGGTACTTCTCNCGGCAGCCATGAAGACTGCCCCTGCGGCGTCAAAACCAGCAGGGGTGGTGGAGAAGAAGATTAGAGGATTCAAAAGCCATTGAAAAGAAAGGATCGGGGTTGTTAAACCGAGAGGGCTCTGATACCATGTGAATGTTTGATTAATCCACCACACCTAAATGGTGTGAAAGTTATCTTATTTATAATCAAATGAATTACAAGGATATGGAAATAGTAATAAATGGAAATAACAATAAATAAAAAGATACGATAATAAGGCAAATATCTAATATTTATCTTATAATAAAATATCAAATATAATATATATCGTAAACTATAATTTATTACTAAATATCCTTAACAAAGAGTATACTAAGAAAATGTGAACTAATTGTTTGAGCCACGCCTCCTTTTCTTCACTCCCCATCTAAAGAGTATACTAAGAAAATGTGAACTAATTGTTTGAGCCACGCCTCCTTTTCTTCACTCCCCATCTATAAATAGGCCAAACTCCACCATTTTCACAGCACAAAGCAGCGATTCAATCCCATTTTTGTGCTTAATTCTTCATTCAATATGATGAATTTCAAGCATTCCCTTTTCTTTGCTGCCCTTCTTTCTCTTTCACTTACCCCTTGTTTTTGCTTCAATCCCAAATCCCTTAATCTCTCCAACTATGACTCCTACGATTCTAATTCCGGCTGGTCCCCGGGCGTCGCCACCTGGTACGGCAGCCCTGTCGGCGCCGGGAGCGACGGTACTTCTCCACCCTCCACTCCAATTCCATTGAATATTGTTTTTAGATTTATTTATAATATGACTGTGTTTTAGGAGGTGCGTGTGGGTACGGAAACGCGGTGGGGGAACCGCCATTCTCGTCGTTGATTGCGGCGGGAGGCCCTTCCTTGTTCAAATCCGGCAAGGGCTGTGGAGCTTGTTATCAAGTGAAGTGCTCGGTAAAGGGCGCGTGCTCCCGGAATCCGGTGACGGTGGTTATAACTGACAGTTGTCCTGGCGGTTCCTGTGCTTCCGACGCTGTCCATTTCGACCTCAGCGGCACTGCTTTTGGTGCTATGGCTGCTTCTCGTCGTGGCGATGAGCTCCGCAATCTTGGCGTACTACAGGTTCAATATAAAAGGTATGCATTAACTCTAGTTAATGATGATTTAACTTGAGTTAACGACGGGTTTAATTTTAAAATAATAATAATAATAATAATAATAATAATAAAGAAACATAAATAGCATATACATTCTAATATTCAACCAAAATATTCCTCCGACCATTTAAATTTATGATTTATTAAAACACGACCAATAATTTGTCGAGATTTTGAAACAAATCGTGTTAGAAATCACGACTCTCCACAATTATATGATATTCTCCACTTTGAGCATAAATTATCATGGCTTGACGGTGGGTTTCCTAGAATGTCTCGTATCAATGGAGGTATATTTCTTACTTCTAAATTATTCTGGTGGACCACAACTCTTGATGGGAAATACTCATATTTGAGTATAAGCTATCATGGTTTGGTTGTGGGCTTCCTCCAGAGGCCTCACAACACAACAATGGAGATATATTCCTTCCTTGTAAATTATTTCTTGGGATTGCTGAACACAACTCTCTATGAGAAATACTCACATTTTTTTATTTAAACCAATCGAGAAAAGATTACAAGACACTTTATAGAATACTGTTAGACAAGCACATTGAGTCACTGTGAATATGCTTTAGACAAGTACAACTGTGACATCGACATGCAGGGTGGAATGCAAATATGGTGGAACGTCGATCCAGTTCGTGGTGGATGCAGGGTCGAACCCAAACTATTTTGCAGCTTTGATCGAATACCAAAATGGAGATGGAGTTCTTGGTTCAGTGGAGTTGAAACAAGCGCAGGGCTCGGGTTCATGGATTCCCATGAAGCAGTCATGGGGTGCAGTTTGGAAGCTGGACTATGGCTCCGCCCTTAAGGCTCCCTTCTCTTTCAGGCTCACTGCCCTGGAATCCAGGAAAGCCGTGGTGGCTAACAACGTGATTCCGGCAGGGTGGCAGCCGGGGAAGACTTATAGATCAGTGGTCAACTTCAAGGGTTAGTCAACGGAGTTTAAAAGTAATGATAATTAGTAAACTTTATATTTATATAATATATTCCCATTTGGGTTATTGACCTTATAATACACCTTTGGGTTATTCCCATTTGTGTGTCTTATCCTGGTAACACTATTGATACGACCCACCTTGTAATTGTTACAAATGATTTGATTCAAATCGTTCATGTGGAGACATGTAAGTGATACGACCCACCTTGTAATTGTTACAAATGATTTGATTCAAATCGTTCATGTGGAGACATGTAAGTGGGGTATCTTATACAATGAGTTTATATAAGACTTGACCAAAAAATATTTAATATCTCTTTATAAATCCGTTAATTAAAAAGATTAATATTTCACATGATGATCATATGTGACTCGATCTTAATCTTGAGTGAGTTATAAACTCCTGCGGAGGGCTTGTCCTTTAATTTACATGGATGAGAATAGTAGCCAATTCAATATGCCTACAATTTTGGGGACTTGACCAAAGAGGAAGTTGGGAACATAATATCATGAGATAGAATTCACTCTTTTCCTTATAAGGAAAGTAGATGATTTGTTTTCTTAAGGTACTGATTTCGAGACTTGAACAATGGGTCCCCACCCTCTCATTGGCCCGAAAGGAACTTGGTTTATGATTAGATCATAAACAAATTGTTCATTAGAGAATTAGTGGTACTTATGGTGGAAGATTTAATTACAGGTGTAAGACGGACTTTTGACCCAATTGTAATTATGAACAACTCGTAAATGATCGACTTGCTTGTAATGGTTATATCAATGGATATAACTTGTCCTGCTTGTATAAGAGTGCAACTATAGATCTGAAGTGACTATAGTTAATGAATGAAAATTGATTAATTGAAGAGTTTAATTAATTAATTTTGTATTATTGGAATTGTTCCAAAACCAAAAGTAAAATATGTATTATTTGGAATGGTTCCAAAAGGGAAAAGATCTACGGACTTTCAAAAGGGAAAATATCTATGTTTTGAAACTTACAATTTTTAGGATATGTCAGATATGTCGGTATTGTTTTTTTAGTTTAATTATGCACATGATGTGTGATTTAAATTAATTGGTCGAATGTATAAGATATGTTATTTAGTTTAAAATCCCACCCTAGGTTATTTCCTAATAGAATTAAGATATTTCTTAATTAGCATGTATTTTCTATATACATAATTGTTGTGCTGGTAAATAAATTGAAAAATTAAATTAAGATATTTATTTTTTAAATTGAATGCATGACATCTTCAAAGGCTTTGCCATTATGTCGGCCAGTTGCTCCACAGTGCTGAAAATAGACTAATTTAACTACACCTTCCTTTGTCAATTCTCTGAGAAAATGGTATCGAACCCTTATGTGCTTTGACTTTTCGTGCATGACTTCATTTTTTGACAAATTGATAGTGGACGTGTTGTCACAAAACAGAACCATCTCTTCATCTTGTTCATTTCCGATTTCTTTCAATATCATTTTCATCCAAATGGCTTGACAGACACATGTAGTTGCTCCTATATACTCTGCTTTAGTAGTTGACAAAGTGACGATTGATTGCTTCCTTGAGGACCATGCCACAACTCCTCCACTCATTAAGAAAACATAGCCTGAAGTGCTCCTACTGTCACCCACATCTCCCACATAGTTAGTGTCGGTGTATCTTGAGAGTTCACTCTTCCCTTCACGTTGATACCATGTCCCAAATTCCAGAGTTTCCTTCAAGTACCTCATGATTCTTTTTGCAGTAGCAAAGTGCAACTCGATAGGATTTGCCATAAAACGACTAATAAGACTTACCATAAACATCAAGTCGGGTCGTGTGGCTGTGAGATACATTAAACTGCCCACCATTTGCTTATATAGCGTTAAATCGACCTTCACACCAACTTCATCTCGGCCAACCTGCTATCCAAGGACTATCGGATTGCAAACGAAGTTGTAATTTTGCAACCCAAACCTTCCGATCAACTCAGCAACATATTTTCTTTGACATATAAAGATGCCATCAACCATCTGTATCACTTCAATGCCAAGAAAATATCTCATCTTCCCCAAATCGGTCATGAATTCATCCATCATGGAGCGCTTAAACTCATTCAACAACTTCTCATCATTACTAGTGAACAATAGATCATCAACATAAATGCTCACAATTAGAATTTTACCTCCCTTTTGTTTGATGAATAATGTTTGTTCACTAGAGCTGCTTACAAAACCTTCCTTGACGATATAAGCTTCAATGCGACTAAACCAAGCTCTAGGCGCTTGTTTTAGTCCGTAAAGAGCCTTATGCAACATATAAACCATGTCCCTTCTTCCCTGCTACTTCATAACCTTGTGGTTGTTCAACAAATACATCTTCCTTTAGCTCACCATGTAGAAAAGTAGATTTGACATCAAGCTGATAGATTCCCCATCCTTTTTGTGCTGCTACAACAATGATCATTCTCACTGTATCCATTCGAGCCACTGGTGCGAATACCTTTGTGTTATCTACTCCGTACTCTCGAGCATACCCTTTTACAACCAGCCGAACTTTGAACTTGTCTACCTCTCCAAGTTCATTTAATTTGGTTTTGTAAATCCACTTAACCCCAATAGCCTTGACTCCAACGGGAAGTGCAGTCAACGACCATGTGTGATTCTGTTTGATGGACTGTATCTTAGTATCCATTGCTTGTTTCCATTTCTGATGTCCTGCGACTTCTTGAAAACTGGTCGAATCTGATATGGCCATAAAAGCTAGAGTTTCAATCTCGACTCTAGCCATGTTTGCTTCTTCCTTTGTATCTAATAGCCCCTTTCCTGTGATATAATCTGCAGACTAGATTGGTGGTTTTCTCACCCTGCCCATTATTGCTATTGTTTCTCCCGTTGGTGGATCGTTTGGTGAAGGAACGTCATTAGTGTATTCTTCCGCTTCCTCTACATTCTTAACATTTTCATAATCATTTTCCCACTCAAGTTCAATGCTTTCTTCACCAGAATAACCAACATCTTCCCAATTCCACTTCTTATCTTCCTCAAATATCACATCTCGGCTGATGTGAACCTTTTTCTCCACTAGATCGAACATCTTAAAGGCCTTGGATTCACTGTTGAAACCTAACAGAACACACTTCACGCTTTTATCATCGAGCTTGCTTCTTTTAACATCAGGGATATGAGCATATCTGATACATCAAAGAATCCTAAAGTGTTCGACTGATGGCTTTCTTTCACTTCATGCCTCTTTTAGAGTCATATCTTTTACAATGAGGGTAGGAGATCAGTTAAGAATGTGATTTACCCATTGCACAGCATCTAGCCAGAAAGCTTTTGGTACCTCCTTCTTCAATAACGTTGCTCTCACCATGTTCATAATTGTAGGATTTTTGTGTTCAACAACGCCATTTTGCTGAGGCGTGAAGGTGGTGGTCAACTGTCTTTTGATTCCATGCGCTTTACAGAATTCCTTGGACGCAATTGAGTTGTTTCTCCTCCTCTATCTGTTCTTAGACATTTGATGAACAATCCAGTTTGCTTCTTTACAAACACTTTGAATGCCTTGAACTGATGAAATGCTTCTGATTTTTCTAGCACAAAATATATCCATGTTTTTCTAGATAAATCATCAATAAAGCTTATAAAGTACCTTATTGACTGTTTGATGGTGGATTGATCGGACCACAGAGATTAGAGTGGATAAGCTGCAATCTTTTAATGGCTCTCCACTTGCTCTGCTTTGGAAATGGAACATGGTGGTGTTTCCCTTTGACACACGCCTCACAAGTGGTTTTCACATCTTCAATTTAAGGTAAACCCACAACCATCTCTTTACTGCATAATGTGTGAAGTTCCTTGTAGCTAAGATGCCCATATCGATGGTGCCACAACTCTGCCTTGTCTAAGATATCAACCTGCAAACATCTCTCCTCTATTTTTTCATTTGATTCACCCAGTAGAATAAACATCCTATTAGCACTCATAACAGATTCTGCTATCTTTCCTTTTGAGTGATGAAAGATGCTGCATGTGTTTCGATCTCCTCCTTTGAATAGCACGTCTAAACCCCTTTCTTGAAGTTGTCTAACACTAAGCAGGTTGTTCTTCAATTTCGAAATATAATACACATCGTTGATCACATAGCTTATTCCCTTGAGCATTATTTTCACTACTCCTTTCTCACCAACCATCAGTTTGTGATTGTTCCCAAGCTTGACATTATGTGTGAAGCTAGTGTCCAAGCTTGCGAACATACCTCTTTCTTCACACATATAGTTTGAACATCCAGAATCTATGGACCACACATCTCCTCTTTTAGTGCCTTGAAGTTCCACATACGTCATGAGAAGAACTTTATCCTTTTCTTCGATCTCTACAAAATGTGCTTCATTGTTCTCATTTGGACATTCTTATTGGAAATGTCCAAGTTGGTGGCAGTTGTAACACTCGATTGTTGCTTTGTTGAATGAGCGTCCTCTGCCTCTGCCTCGACCTCTGTATGATCCTTTGCCTTTGCCTTTGACATTGAGACTGCCTCTGACATTGAGAGCTTGATCACCTTCTTCATGACTGATCTTCTTAAATTTCTTTTCATGTACAGACAGAGAGCTTTGCAGTTCGTCAATCGTCATCTTTCCTGTGTCTTTTGACGCCTCGATGGACACCACCACATATGTGAATTTGTCAGTCAGAGTTTGAAGTATTTTCTCAACAATCTTCGACATGTCTTCTCCATTGCTTCTCATCTTGTTGAAGACAGCCAGTACTCTTCCAAAATAATCATCGATGTTTTCTTCTTTCTCCATTTCAAGAACCTCAAAATCTCTTCTTAAGGTTAGACTGCTTCACCCTTTCGTTGCCTCCAAAATTTTTCTTCATCGATTTCCAAATGATCTTGGATGTTTTGCGATTCAAGATCTGTTCAAACACAACCCGATCAATTGCCTGGAACAGGTAGTGCTTCACTTGATGGTCCTTCATCTTGAGCTCCTCAAGATTCCTTTTTTGTGTTGCAGTCACTTCGTTCCCTCTGTCG